GTGTAAATTCGGGATGGTGATTTGTGCCTCTGTGACTAGGAGTAGATGGAGGGTAGCTCGTAGTATCTCATGCCCTAGGGTTTTGTCTGCTGCAACCAATGCTATCTCGAGCTTGTTTCAAGAATTGTCTGATGGGCTTGTGCATTCATGTGTGTGTGTTGGAGGGTGAATGTTCACAAACCCATGTCCATCCAAACATTTATGTACTTAGATGCATGTATGTTACTGAATGCCTGTGCTAGAAGTAGAAAGTTGGTATCTTGGTGTCAATGGTTGACCTGTACTAGAAAGTTGTTTTCTTCTGCTGAAGCATGCATAACTTTTGCAGATTCTGGTGCGTGGACATCTGAAGCCACTGAACATTTTAAAATGCATTGTACAAAGAATTTGGACTTGCATGTTTGTGCTCCTCAGACTGAGGAAACAATTGATGTAACAATCAGATTTATGTGCCTATAAGGTTAGCATCTTAACTACAGACTCTCTTCAAGTACTGAGTAGAACCTTAGCTTAAGAGGTCATGAAGGTCAGGCAATATTAGGATATGTATATATCAGGATCATTAGAGAGATCCCCTAGATAGACTAGTTACTATGTATAGCCTAGCTTCCTGTATTTGTACCTTCCATGTGTGCCTAATTGGCAATATATATGAAAGGCTCCCCACCAACCTATAATATACTAATGTGCTACTTCTTGTCTTATTGTGGGAACAAATGAGGTAAAATCAAACCCCTGCATGTACTAATCACTCAGATTTAATTAAGTTATGCACCACTATGATCTTCTTGTGAGCAGCAATAATACCCTTGTGTACATGCCATTACTGGACTATTAAGCTAGTAGCCTGTGTTCCTGACATAACTAGTTCATCATTTACAATTGGTATGTTGCATATTCCTTCAACCTTCCATTTGCTTAACTGCGTGATGTTTGTGATATCTCAGGTACAACCTTCATAGAAGTTAATGAGTAACATCATTTCTAAGAAGGTACGAGCTATATTTCCCTAAATCATTATCATTCATTCTTTCCGTTGCTGTCAACAAGCTCCAGAGAACCTTGTTATGATAATCCAATGGTCCAAGTTCTCTTTTGTAGAGTTTAGCCCTCAGATTAAGCCAAGCAAATTTATTATAGAAAAAAATGCCCCTTGCAAAATTGTGAGTTCTAAAACACTGCACAGAACTTTAACTCCCTAGGTGTTGAAATTCTAAATATTGTCATTCACTTTCATTTAAGGCTTTGCATTCCAAAAAGTTGTCCATTTAACATAAGAACCGGCTTAGTTTGAGCTGGTAGCTATAGATTTTTGTAGGGCAAGTTACCATTTTTTTTTTCACATCATTGAAGTGGTTAGTTTTTAAACATTGTACTTTGTTATATGCACTTACTTGACTACGGGCCATCGTTATGAAATCGCTAACACCGGCATGGTCTGCAGTTGGGTGAGCATGAAATTGCTTGGGTGGATGCAGAAGTTGGAAAAGAAGATGAGAAGCTTATTTTGCTTCCCCCATCGTCAACACCGCCACCCCACAAGCCAGTTCTTGTGGGTGATCTAAACTTGTCTGATTTTAAACAATTTTTGGAAAATAAAGGATGGCAGGTAGGTTTATTATATTGAATTCCTGAGTTTTTGAGCATCCCCTGTACCTATATGGGCATTATCCAAACTTTTAGTTTTAGGAGTGGACATGAAGAATATTTCATTTACTAAGTAGGATTTTTCAGTTGAATGCAAGAGGATCAAATTTGTTGAGATTCATTCAGGTGTATATTAGTATGTTGAGAAGAAATCTGTGCTGTGAACTTTCACTATCGCTAGCATACTGCAGGACACTAGATGGCACTTGTTACCTGCACATGCTGTTTAGTTCACATAAAACATAGCCTATAGATGTTAGCAGTCACTCACAAGAGTTGATTGATGAAAGCTGCAGCATATGTATTTTGGGTGGATAATATTAAGCAGGCAGGGATGAATAATCTTTGTTGGTGTGTACTGAAGCCATTGACATTAGTCACTAAGGAAACAGTTGTTTCAGGTTGAATTTGCTGGAGGTGCTTTACGATGTGGCGAATACGTCATGGTGCGCAAGATTGGTGATTCTAGCCAAAAGGTAACTTCAGCATCCATTTAGGAGCAACACTCCTGTGCATATTTCGGCAGAACTTGATCTGCTCTAGTTCAAGTACTATGGTTCAGAACTTGAGATGATACATGACAAACGGATGCCTCAATTTTTCACAATGTTCAAAAAAACGCTAGAGGCGAACGCTAGCCTATGGTTTAGAGTTTAGGAAGTTTAAACGTGATTAAACGTTTTTGTTTTTTATTTTATTTTTTGTGATGCTGAGTTATTGAGGCAGACAGGCAGTACACATTCAATCTTAACCCTAAATCCCCAATCCAATTCATCAATTGAGTGATTGACATGCAGAAATCAAAACTACAGAGCATGGGAAGATGGGGAGAGACCGAGGGAGCACCTGGAGAGAACGAGCGAGGGGTTGGGCCTGCACCGGCCAGCCTTTGCGTTGCCGTTGTCGACTCCTGGTCCTGCGCCGGCGGCCTGCCCTCTGTTGCAGGCAACGACCCCTGCGCCTGCGGCCTCTGCGGCTGCCAAGGAGAAGGGGAGCCCCAGCGACGACCCCTACGGCCCTACCAACGGCGGCGAGGAGCGACCAGGCGGGAGGCGGGACCGGAGTGCGACAAATCCTGACTCTGTTTCTTGCGGCCGATTTGTGCTCCCGCGTCGGGCCCGCCTGCTGTTTTCCACGCCCTCCCGCGCTTCTTTCCCGCGCGTGATTCCTTCCCTCTTCCCGCCCGCGTGCCGCGCGCTTCCTTGCTCGCGAGCCGCGCGTTTTCCACCGCCTAGCTCCGTTTTTTGACCGATTCCGCGCTGTTTAATCGCTGCCGCGCGTGTAAATGAGCGCCTAGGCGCGTCCAGCGTCTAATTGAGCGTCTACCCCCTAGATGCAACGCTGGCCTACGTTCAGCGTTTAAACTAGATTAAACGACGTTTAATAACGTTTTTTTGAACATTGATTTTTCATGATATATACCAACAATACTCCAGGAGCATAGTTGCATATGCCTTGCCCGGTGGTGTGAGACTTTAACACACTTGTGTTGTGCGGGTTTGGATGCGAAGTATTTTTAGAGCTTTATAAAATACCATGGTTTGCAAAATAGTTTTGGTTTTGGAGCAGCATTATGAAGTGTTTGGTGCAAGAAACCTTTAATTTTTGAAAATTATGTTGCTAAAACTGTTGTATCAACTCTAAACTTTTTTCCTCTTAACCATGATTTTGCACGTCTATGAATTCCAAAACTTTACTTTCTATAGCATCCAAACAAGACCTTGTACATTTGTGATGCAATAACACTATTATTGCAGGGCAGCACGGGCCGGGGGTGTCAGCAGAGTGTCATCGAAGGCCCCTGTGCGAGGACTACTACAAGATCAGGGCGCTTCTGTACTCGCAGTTGTACTCGCTGTGAAGCAATGTACGGCTTCTCCATCTCTCGTTGTTGATTTACACATGTTCGTTTAATCGTATCAGTCATGCTTATCAGATATGATATAATGTTTTCTCTCACAATAAAACAACATCAGTTAATTTATAAACCACAGAAACGATCAAAGGAACGGGGTGTTAACCCAGTCGTTTTGGGCAAGTGACGAGTGCATAGGCAGAGACAAGCCGGGAGCTGTTTTGGTTCATAGATTATTATTAGATGTTGACTATAAGATTACATGTGTATAATATCAGAAAACTTTTAATCTTCTTGTGTAAGTAGTATCTTGGTGTTTTGACATCTGTTTTTCCTCTTTCTCCAGTTCTTTACTTTATCCATCCCTAAATATATGCCATTTTCGTTTCCCAAGAAATAACTTCGACAAAATATATATAAAAAATATTAATATTAATGATACATAATTAATATTATCATATAGATATTTGAATCTAGTTTTTTAATAAATTTATTTAGAGATATAAATGTTGCACGTATTTTCTATAAATTGAGTTAAATTTTTAGACGGAAACCAATGGTGGCAGTTAATTTGGGACGAAGGCAGTATCAGCCTGACATATCAGCTATGGAATAACGTTTTTATCTCGTAACAAATGAGCATCAGTTGTAGAAACTATCACAAGTATATGCTACCTGTGGCAGTGCCGAACTGGGAAGATGCGATACGGATGTTCCATTGGCCCTGTTCGTTTCTCTTATAGGCCCCGTTCGCTTGGAGGATTTGAAGGAATCTGGATAAATCTTGAGGAATTTGTGAGAGAAAAATACTGTTCCGGATGAAAAAAGAAGCGGATCAAAGCCGGGTTTAAGGGCACATGAACGGGGCCATAATCTTTACTTTTCAGTTTGTTTTTCAGTCGGAACAGTGTTTTTCTCTCACGACAAATCAGTCGGAACAGTATTTCAGCTTGTTTTTTCAGCGAAGCGAACAGGGCCATTATTGTTGCTGGCCTGGTTGATTTGACGGTGTCCAGCCAAGAAAATGAGCAATGTTGTCTGGAAGATGAAAGTGACCGCTTGGTGGAAGTGGAACCAGAGTTTGCAAAATGTGGGAGTATCCATGTTGATGATGGTGATGCGAAGAAGGCACCTGGTCCTGTCCCCCGCCCCGAATGATCGATTGTCAACGCACCCGGTCATCACTCCTCCACACCATAGACCACCATCACCTCACCAGTGAATTCGCCACCGGCGCGGCGCCAGCCCTCATCACAAACCAAAACAAAAAAAAAAGGAAAAAAATCACGAGTGGGATCGTTTGTTGGATCTCCGTCTCCTTCCCTTTGAACATTCATCATAAACCATCCGTACCGGAATCTTTGGCTCCCGAGTCCCGACTTGATCCGCGCCGCGCGCCGCTTGTTCGACGCTATTCCCTCCCAGCTACAACCTGCCGCCACCGCCGCTGTGGCCGATGGATGACTGATTGCCGCCGCCGCCGCCTAGTGCCCCGGCCATGTCGCTGGCCTGCGGCCTGCCGCTGCTCGAGTGCGTCTACTGCCTCGCGTGCGCGCGCTGGGCATGGAAGCGCTGCCTCCACAGCGGCGAGGTCGACAGCGCCACCTGGGGCCTCGCCTCCGCCGCAGACTTCGAGCCCGTGCCGCGCATGTGCCGCCTCGTCATGGCCAACTACGAGCCCGACCTCTCCCCCTCCGCGCCGCTCCTCTTCGCGCCGCCCGGGCCCGGCGGATACGGCATCGACCCCGCCTGCGTCCTCCGCCGCTGGACCTACGCCGACACCCGCGGCCGCGTCACGCCCTACCTCCTCTACCTCGACCACGCGCACGCCGACATCGTCCTCGCGCTCCGCGGGCTCAACCTCGCCAAGGAGTCCGACTACGCGCTCCTCCTCGACAACCGCCTCGGCAAGCGCCGCTTCGACGGCGGCTACGTCCACAACGGCCTCCTCAGGGCCGCCGCCTGGGTGCTCGACGCCGAGTGCGACATCCTGAAGGAACTCCTCGAGAGGTACCCCGACTACACGCTCACCTTCACGGGTCATTCGCTGGGCGCCGGCATCGCAGCCATGCTCACCATGGTCGTCGTGCTCAACCTCGACAAGCTTGGCAACGTCGACAGGACCCGCACGCGCTGCTACGCCATGGCGCCGGCCAGGTGCATGTCACTCAATCTCGCCGTCAGATACGCCGACGTTATCAACTCGGTTGTCCTTCAGGTCACCGTCACTCACTCAGGTTTCTTAATTATCAACACTAATAACTACTCCCTACTGGTTTCAACCATTCTCCATCTTTCTTTCCCTCCCAATGGCAGGACGACTTCTTGCCCCGGACGGCTACTCCTCTTGAAGACATTTTCAAGTCAATCCTCTGGTAACAAATAATTTACTCTATGTTTTTGTTCATCTAGTGCTGAAAAGGTTTTGTTTCGCAAATTGTTATGTGCTTCATTACTGGCTCGAACTTTCCTCTTGCATAATCCCAGTTGCTCTATTTGTTTATGAACAAATTACTCCACTTGTCAAAATCAGAAACTGTATATCTGTTTCAGGATATATGATATCATCACTTAGTGAACATCACACCTGTATTTAGTGCTCTGCAAGTCAATCCTGTGAGCTGTGTACACCTATTATAGCCGAGGGTGGTTTATCTTATTTGCTGATTTTTCAGTTTATGTTTCTGCTAGCTCTGTTGCAGCTGTGATGCGTTTGATGCTTACTGGGCTCAAGCAAGTTTGACATTAAGCTATCTTCTTTTCTTGGACAGCTTGCCATGCCTCCTAGGTTTGAGATGTTTGAGAGATACATGTATACCCGAAGACGCTATGCTAAAGGATCCAAGGAGGCTTTATGCACCAGGCCGGATTTATCACATAGTGGAAAGAAGAATGTGCAGGTACCCTTTCCTCATTTGGTATTCTAGAATGCAAGAAACATCATGTGGCCCCTGATGCATAGTATCCGTTAGTTGCGTATTGATGGAGGTGTTCTCACAATTGTCAGAAATAGAGAACAGGGTATGCTAGTAGTTTAAAATATCTGATAGTATCGTTTTAAGAGAACCATCACCTCTTTATTTTGCGAATATGTAGTTCAACTATCACCATTGACTGTAAACCCATACTGATACTGCTAGGTACACCATTGATATTAAACTTTCCCAGCTGTTTTACATTTCTTGGTCAGGGTACTGGGTGTTGCTAATGAAGGTGTCCAATATTTCCCGAAAACAAACTGAATTCCTTGAAACACACAGGTGCGGAAGATATCCACCTGTAGTCAAAACAGCTGTGCCGGTGGATGGTAGATTTGAGCACATAGTTCTTTCCTGCAACGCCACAGCGGACCATGGCATTATTTGGATTGAGAGGGAGGCCCAGAAGGCTTTGGATGTGAGTTGCTTATAGCCTTATATGCTTCTACTCATGCTTACTCTCTATTCTTTGTCTGTAGCCTTTATCTTTGGTACTGATAAAGTGAACCTCCTTGCATATCACTGTTTTTTTTCTTTCTTAACTGTGCACGTTGACGATATGTAAGGGTCACGTGTGGACGTGTGGGGAATGTTTTAGATTCTATTCTTAGCATTATAGAACCTAGAAATGTGAAAATACAAGAAGAAAGATTGAAGAACTAACTCAACTAAGGTAGTGACGACAAAAATCTTGTCCAAAATACAGTTACACATTAGTTAGATGTGTTGGAATTGTGATCTCCCGGCCAATTCTTTAGTCGGTAAGAGAAAGGGATGGAACGGGGTGGAAACACCCCGAACCATCCCGTTTGCCCAAGTCGGCAATTGAAAGGATTGGAAACACCCCCGAACGATCTCGTTTTATCCTGATCGGGGTTACCAACCTAATAGTTGTCGGGCCCCCGTTGTGGACCGATTTATATTGGGGAAAGGTCCCACAAGGACCGGAACTAAGACCTAAGCCCATTTCCCTGTCCTACCGATTAAGGACCACGCTGAAACATTGGAAGGACCAAGACAAGCCCCAGAAACAAGAACAGAGAGAAAGAGTTGAAAAAAAGAGAGATGGGAAGCTCATCTGGTGAAGGTATGTGTGCATGAATCTCATCTCATGTTGTGGTTCTATCTTAATCTAGATGATCCAACATAACTAACAAGATGCATTTGTCGTGTGAACGGCCCTCTAGTTGAGTTCGTTAGGTGGCTCTAGTAGCATTCATCAGGTTCTAGGTTCGACTCCCATGAGCTGAGTTGGTTAGGTGGCTCTAGTAGTATTCCTCAGGTCCTGGATTGACTCCCCATGAGGAGTGAATTTCAGGTTGGGATTGAAAAAAAACTCCTCGTATGTTCCATGCCAAAGCACAGGTCTAAGGCTAGGCCCGGCTCCGGTTGTGGGCTGTCTTATTCCCCGCAGGTTGAGTTTTTTTAGATGCAGTTATCGTCCAAAGAACAGGTCTAAGGCCCGGCCCTGTCTTGGGCTGTCTTACCCCCAAAGGCTCAAGTTTGTTTAGATGTTGTCGTCTTTAGAATTGTTCATGTTTGGAAATGGAGTTGTTGAATATGAAAGTAGACATAGGATGATTTGTTCACCAAGCAGATGCAATCGTACAAATGGGTGCAAGTTAGCTGCTTCTCTGATTTTTTTTTCGTGCTTATTACGTGATTCCACCGCCGGTGTGCAGCTGATGCTGGAGGAGGAGGACACGCTGGCAGTGCCATCGGAGCAGCGGATGGAGCGGAACGAAACCCTGCAGAAGGAGCACGTGGAGGAGCACAGGGCCGCTCTGCGCCGGGCCGTCACGCTGTCGGTGCCAGACGCGCGGTCACCATCCCCGTACGGTACGTTTGACGATGTCGGGCAGCATCACCACCAGCCGGAGAGGAGCGAGAGCTTCCCGCCGGCGGGGCCCAGGCAGCGCATGAGCTGGAACGATCTGATCGAGCGGGTGTTCGACAAAGACGAGGACGGCCAGATCGTGCTGCGCAGCTCGGTTCTTCTCTGAAGAGCGCAGCCTCCCGGCCTCACCTGGGCCGTTGTAAATTCCTTCGGTCTTGCAAATGTGCTGCCGGCTGCCTCTCCCAGCAGAAGCCCCCATTTTCCTGTGTTATTGGATGTTCAGTGTCATTTATTCATAGAAGAGAATTCTTTGTGTTATTGGGTTGTTCAGTGTCATTTATTCATAGAAGAGAATTCTTTGTGAAGGAATAATCAAGGTGAAGAGTAGGTCAATTTTGGCACCATTTTCCTGGTGATCTTGATATCAGCAGAGTTAGGATCCAAACTCACAATATGCATCATTACACGCCAGACAGTACGATCGAGACACTTATTCCCGTTTTGTTCCATGCGTATCAGCAGAGTCACTTACTTAAAATTTTGGATTTTGACACTCGAGGGAGATGGAGATGAGCACAATGCCTTAGTTTTCAGATTTCACACCCAAATCTGCATATCCTCGCCCCATGGCCATGAGATGTAAGGCACATATGGACTATATTGTTTGCTCACGGTGTGGAGCCGCTGGCGACAAAAGGCTGTGAATTCACCGTTTATCAGCAACTCAACTAAACCCACTGGTCTTCCTTCTTGAAGACTAGAGTATATGCAAATAGGCTTTACAAAATGAGCAGCGAGTTCAAATTTAACAGCTCAAAAATCAGCTGATACTACTGCCTAAAAAACAAAGAAAAAGGAGAAAAAATGTAAGCCATAAGGCCTGAGCCAATCAGCCACTTGTATATGTGTATGTAATATGCTACCAATCTATACTTGCAGATCAAGAACCGCCTCACCTGCAAACATGTAGCACGATAAGGCCAACATGGGATTAACAGGCGCTAAAAGGGGAATAGCCGCCAGACTACTCCAGTGGCCAGTCCATCTTACCATGCATTCTCTTGACGAAGCGCTCAGATTCAAAAAAGTTGGGTCTTTCAAACAGAACTTTGCTAAGCCTTAGGTAGGTGAAACCAAACAGATGCTGTCCATCTGGGTCATTCAGTGGTCTGGCATTCTCCAAAATCTTGTTGAATCCATCCCTATCATAGCAAGGTAGAGCGTTCTCATTAGCCACTTGTATACCAGCATCCCAAGCAGCATTTAGCACCTGAAAAATGATGCACCCAATTTATTAAACACTAACACTTCATCAATCCATTCCAAATTAAATAGAAAAAAAATGGTGTTGTACTATAAGTGCCAACTACTCATTCAGAGAAAACCTACCAAATAGTAACATGTGTTTGCTCACTAGAGAACACAAAACATCAGCTAGTAAGCTGTTGCTAAGAAATGCAAAACATGCAACGGAACAATGGATCCATACCTGCCATACTAGGCCCTCTGGGTCTGCAAATGCCTCAGGGTATACCTCATGCTGGTCCATAGTGCGCAATTCAACACATGTAAAGTTCAAAGCAGCACCATATTTCTTCAATACTGCAGCAATTGGAGCATAGCCATCACGGTTACATGGGTTGTAAAATCCGGCGGTCAATTCAGCAGCATGACTGGCAGTTTTGTACCACCAGTGCACCCCAGAGACCTGTTAATATCACAGAAGTGGTTAGTGCTATACAATCATTTCATGTGATTTGGATAAAAATGATAAAGAATAAGGTTGTTCTGACACTTATAAGACCAAGTTCCCAGAAACAAGAAAAAATGCCCACAAATCAACCATCAAAATACTGAAATTGGCTTTGAATAAATAACAAAGACAACTGACCTTAACAGCAATGTTTGAACCCTCAAAAGCCAACCTTGCTAACATCAGTACACGGTCCGCATGATTCACCAACGTCTGGGAGTACCAGCTGAGGAAAAACAGGCCATAGTAGCTCATAATCTCCTCCATCACAAAAAAATCCAGTGAGATTTGGTTCAGAATTATAATGGCCAGCATTGTCAGGCCCTCTTGCCCATATGGTATGCCCCCGTGCTTCTGCAGCCTTTCTCAAACTTTTCTGTAAGTACCTGTCATAGCACTGGAGCAAAATACATTAGCAATTACCTGAAATTCTCCAATGCCAGGGTATTTCCAGCCATGTTTTGCTGGATAAGATGGATATCGCAGCTCTCCACAAGCCCCTAGTCCAATCTCAATTTCTGAGATGATCCCATCCTCAAAATACTCATCGAATTCTACTCGGAAGCTTCTCATGAAATCAAAATATACCTACATTGATATACAGGAATGAATTAAACACAATTGACCATCCAACTTCCAACAAAAATGAATTGAAATGTTTGAACACAGAGAACAGGCATTGTTGTGGCATAACAAAATAGTCTCGTCACACACATGAAAGTACTAGACATGACAATGTATACATAACATATCAGTTTCATGTGAAGCCACCCTCAGCTTCTCAGGTTCTAGTTATCGTACAGAGTAGTAGTAACAGAACTTGCTCAAGGAGACAAGTGGAAATCAATAGGGGTGTGTTTGGTTGGTGGATGGGGCTTGCATTGTTATTCTGGCTGAGGGGATACAGGCTACGTGGAACCGTATTTCAGAAAAAAAAAAGGTGTTTGGTGAGGTTGCATGAGCGGATGCAAAAAAACTGACATGTTGTTTGGTTGTCTGCATGAGCGGATGCAACCTGTCAAACCTATGAGACTAACACGTGGGCCTGTCAACCTCATCCTGTATCCACTCAGCTTGGCTCGGCAGTGAAGCTCGATTTGGGCGTATCCTGCTAACTTGTATCCACTCATGCAATTGCATCCGCTCATGCAGTCATGCAGCCAACCAAACATGCTTCTCACCCAGATTTATACGGCTCCATTCATAGAGGATGAGTGGAGCAGACCAACCAAACACACCCTAGGATGATAAGCTGTGTGGATGCTGTGAAAATGTGAAATGACTCCTGCGTCGCTTTGGGCTGCAAACTCTAGCGCCTATGATGAATGATGCTTCTTTTGACGACTGGTGGAACAGAGCCAATGATATGGTCGATGGACAATTGCAGTAAGGCATAAATTCCCTCATTATCCTAGGGGCTTTGACGCTTTGGAAACATAGGAATCAATGTGTCTTCGGTGACTTTGCTGCCAATATGGCTAAGCTGGCTTGCTACTTGCTGAGGAGGAGGCTCAGCTTTGGGCGCGAGGGATCTCCTTCTTGTCTGGCAATGTTCCAGTGACTAGGTCATTCTAGGTCATTTGTATTCATAAGAAAAAGGCGTGTACTTAATTTTGTGAACCTATGGGTGTGTGTGAGTGCCCTTTCTCCTTTTTAAAATAATAATACACAGTTCTCATGCGTGTTCGAGAAAAAAAAATGAAATGACTGTACCTCCACTGCTGTTCTGCCTTGCAGAACCCTTTCTTTATCAATTCCCCATGATAAGCACTCTGTATTAAGTCTTCCTGCCCTGTCAGTAAAGTAGATATCCGGATTGTTCCGTCCAATCTCTATTACCCAATGTGGGAGGGGAATGGATATATCATCTCCAACATTGCCACCGCATTCATGAAATGACATGACGACCTAAGAAATTTGGCGAGAAAAGCATTTAAGCGACATCAGAAAAGGTAATCAAACCTAAAGTACAGCAATTTTCAACCAACAGATGAAGGATGTGGAAGGAGGATTGCATCAAGAAACATACAACAGTCCAGAGACCCATAAGTTTCCAAAGGGTGCATTGAGATGTTAAGCCATCTTACCTGCAACTTGAGCTTGAGCTCCCTGATCATCTGGAAGAGGCGCCTGTAGCCAGTCCAGTTGTACTCCTGCGGCCTGTGCGCCTCGACGTTCCCCCACGAACAGTCGACCATGACCCCATCCACTCCGGCTGCCTTGAGCACCCGCAGCTGGCCCACCAACTCGTCCGCGTCCACCACCTCACCGTTACCATTCACCACCCCAAGCTGCGACAAACACGCTTCTGATTGGGATATGGAACACGATCGCGCAGGTCCAATCGAGCGACCATCACGGGAGCGCCGCGGAGGCCGGGAGCGCGAGCGGGGTGGCGGAGGGCGGCGCGGCGGCGACCATCACGGGGCGGACCGACTGGAGGAACACAGGAAGAGGAGGAGCACGCGTCAGCATTTGATCCGGATCCGGTGGCACCGAATTTGGGAGGACCCGGGGAGGAGGGAGGAGGGAGGAGGTGGAGCGCGTCCTCGGGAGGCGGGAACGGGGGAGAAAAAGAGAAGAGGAGGTGGAGCAACGAACGAAAGCCGTGAGCTCCGTGACGGCCTCTGCGGCTTCTTCGCCGCTTTTGCTTGCTTGTCCACTTCTGTTCTACTACCCCTTTTCCCTTTCCTTTGCGTGCGAATTGCGATGGACGGTCCACAAAAAAAAGTAACGCAAAATACAATACTCGTAAAATAATACGGTTGTACAGTTTAAAAAAAATAAGGTGGTAATTCTTTTCTCTGCTTGTGTTATTTTCGCACAATACGGTATTCCAAGATTTTCACATAGTGTATTATCAGACGTACAAATATTACTTGCATTATATTATTATTTAATTTGATCGACCATTCTATTCCCCTGCACCTGCAGTTTTGAGCATTTATTTATTTACTTATCCACTCTTTTGAAACCACAGAGTTTCATTTATGACATCATAAATACAGTAGATAACTACTACTCCCGCGAACTGAGCTGCTGTGAGCTCACTCTTTTTTCGCCGTTCCTCTTCTCAGTTCGCATCGCAGAGCTGCCACTGCCAGTTCAGACAGACAGTTCCCTTTCTTCCCGGGCCTTGTTTAGATCATCTCTAAGGCCTTGTTTAGATTGTAAATTTTTTTAATCTGGACATTGTAATACGTTTTATTTGTATTTGACAAACTTTGTCCGATCATGGACTAACTAGGCTCAAAAGATTCGTCTCGTGATTTACAACTAAACTGTATAATTAGTTACTTTTTTTACCTACATTTAATGCTCCATGCATACGTCTAAAAATTAATGTGATGGAGAGAGTGAAAAAACTTGAAACTTTGAGGCAATCTAGACATGTGCCTTTTTTACCTATCAAATCTTAACACATACATGAAGTATAAATGTAGTCTAAAATTGATGTGATGAGAGAGAGCCTAGTTAGATCATGATTGGACAAAAATCAAATAAAAGCGAAACTTTGAGGCAACTAACTAAACAAGGACATGGCCTAAATTCTAAGTTTTTTCACTCTCTCTCTATCACATCAATTTTTAGATGTATACATGGAGCATTAAATATAGGTAAAAAAATAACTAATTACACAGTTTAGTTGTAAATTACGAGATGAATCTTTTGAGCCTAGTTAATCCATGATTGGACAAAGTTTGTCAAATACAAACGAAACGTGCTACAGTGTCCATGTTGCAAAAATTTACAATCTAAACAAGGCCCCAATTGAGAAGATACTGACGACTGACTCGGAAGGAAGGAGAGCAGATAGAGAGAGCAACCTGTGCAGCCACGGCGGTGGAGGAGGACGAAGAGGGGAAGGTGGTGCCGTCGGGGAGGACGACCCATCCGGCCTCCCTGGCGAGCACGGCGATCACCTCGTTGATGTCGGCGCGCGCCCGCAGGTCAGCTGTAGTTGCCGTCTTGCTGGCGCGAGCCAGCCAGATCCGCCAGCGTGATCGCGCGCCGCCGCCGCTCCGCATCTTGGTCCGCTCCTTCTCCTCCGCAGCCGCGAAGGCCCTCGACTCGCCCGGCGACACGACGGCGGCGCATGCGCATGGCCGGCTCCGGGTCCATGTAGTAGCCGTCGTCCTCCCCCTCCTCGTCGCCTTCCTCCTCCTCCTTGACCCCCATATCCTCGTCGTCGGCCGGCCCCGCCTGCTGCATCCCGCCCGGCCGGCCGGATCTCGCGCCGCCGCCGCGGGTGGAGATGCGGAAGAGGGGAACAGGAACAGGGGGGAGGAGGGGAGGACTAGGAGCAGTAGGGTCGCTCGCGCGTGCGAGGCGTGCGGCGGCGTGCTGCTGCTGGACCTGGGACTTGGAGAGTCATATGGTTGGCACGGTGGCCGCGTGGGGGCGACACGTGTGGGAGGATGGACGGCCGCGATGGCCAGGAGGCACGCACGCTCCGCCAGGCGCCAGGGCAGGGGAAGGAACGGGGAAGAAGGATTGGCACCGCACAGGCGGCGCATGTGATTGGGCGTGCCGCTGCTACCGTTACCCTTTCCCATCCCAGTGGGCGCCGCGCACGGCGCACACATGTCATGTGCACGCACGCGCCTCTCCGCTTGCCACGCGCCCCCATTGGCCATTGTCCATTGGCATTGCCATACGTGCAGGTGCAGGCCTGCATCAGCAGCGGCGGCTGCTTCTCAGATGTCCAGCTTCTTCTTACTGGGTGACTGTGCAAGCAGAAGCAGGGGGCAAAGATCATGAGGTTTTTGGTGCTGCGTTTCAGACATGGATTGCTGGCTTTCCTGCTATAGAGTTTTATACTCTATATTGCCGTCTCCGCTGAACAATTCGCTCTGGACGTACCATTCCACACCACGCCGATCAGATACGGGAGAAGAAGCACAGCTGCTACCTGACATGCCGCTCGGCCCTGTTCGCTCGAGCTTATCAGCCATGATCCAGGTATTTTCTCTCATAACAAATTAGTGAACGGTGCTTTTCAGCCTGACTTTTTAACGAAACGGACAGAGCCGCGATGCCTCTTTGCTGAACAACATCCCGCTGCAGACAAACGAATCGAACGCAGCAGACAATTTGCAGACAAAAGGTACTGCTTCTATTGTTCACATCTCCATGCCGCGATGCCTATCAGAAAATTCTCGAGGGTAGATATTTTCCAAAGAAACTAATAGCTCCATGCATCAGTTGCAACATTTTTCACTTGAACAGAGTCGATATTATTTGCTCACGAATTAAGCCAATGGTAAATCCTGAACAAAACGGTTGTTCCAAAATACCAACAAGACAAACGGGTGTGCTCCATTTGATAGGAGCGGCAAACAAAACTACAAATGACAGAATCAGTAACGATTATCGGATTCTTACTTTGACACAGAAAACTTTGCCTTGCGCATCAGATATTGATCATTCCAGGAATGTCACGACTCTTGTATGGAATCCGATCCTTCTTTCTTGGTGAGCTGTTAGATTCACCAGGCAGTACTCTGCTGTAGGTAACTTGATGAATTTCAACAACGAGTCAGTGAACTACAACTAGCCCATCAACCAGATACTGTTGGTTGTGTTGCTTACTTGCTTCTGCTTTAGACTTAGGTTGCTTTGCTTCTGGCATCCTTCAAGCTCCCCGACAAGGAAATCAGCATGTTGGACACTTGGACTGGACGATTGGCTAGCTGTTAGCCTCATCATTGCATTTGCCGTGTCAATGATTTGTTCGCAGAAGTAACCACAATTCCAGAAAACGCGATTGCATATCCAGCTACATTGACTACGCTGTTAACTTGGCTCATCAGGAGATAATACAGTAACTGTACCGCTTCACAAGCCTTCATTCAGGATGCACTAGTGCATATCGCTGAATTCTAGCATATCATCACGTGCACAAGCAGCACGGGTACACAACAATATTTGAAAAGGCTAATTTTAGTTCAATCCAGTTGATCAACTCACCAGAGACCAAATCCAGCATAAGCATACCAGTCTATGTTGGCTAAAATTCTCAGGTAACAGCTTCTCAAAAATAAGTCCTCAGGTCACATACATCTTCAGCTGTGGGAGAACTATAAATATAAGTTTAGAAGAGAACTAAGATGCTTTAGTAAGGAGAACTCCTAAAGAAAGCCACCATTCCAATGAAAACATCCACAAAGGTGATCAAACTGTAATTCTTTCATTCAAATGCAGTTTCAATCACAAAATTTGACAAGAAGACTGCAGAGAACAATATAAACAGCATATGGAATACTGACTCGGCGACAGAAACCTTGTGGTGTTATACATTGTTTCAGGAACTGCATTTTCAAATGTCCTGATTCATATATTCAGTTCCCTGCTTTCTTTCTGAGTATATATAGTGTACTAGTGAAAGGGCGCGCGACAAATGCGGAGACTGAATTGGTTTGAGATATAGCATTAAATACTTATGGATATGGATATTCATAATCTGAGTGAATGGAAAAAATGATTGAGATACATATAGGAACCTAAGCCTTTCTTTCGCCTAACTCTGGACTGCAGATAACGAAGTACAAAGTGAAACTTGGAAGGAAGCCGAGACTGGCCATTTTGTAAGGTTGTAGGAAGCACAACAAAAGTAAACTAAATGCAAGTACATTTGTAACACGAATTCTATGGTCAGATGAGTCCATTTTCGGCAGAGCTCGCATCTGTGCTTTTTATTTCTTGGACACCTGAAAAAAGATGAGATGGACAATTAGAAGTGCTGCATAGCTTAAACCATAACTGTGACGTGAAATAATTACAAAAACATTTACCACTCTCATTTTGTTCATGACTGCGGAGTTTGCATAAGAATCACCAAGGCAACAGTAGCAAGTAGACATTGATCAGGATGTACCTTCTGAATCATGTATTGTAGCAATGCAATATGAATCATAGTCCCTAACCAATCAGAATAGATTATTAAGTACATAACAAACCAGAAAAATCACTTTAGGTTAGAAGCAGGTGCACATATCCTATGCAGGTGTATAACTATTTATTTAAAAAAATCAGGAAAGAATATCCTATGCAGGTACACATATCCTATGCAGCGGCAGTAACAAAAAGTAGAACTTGCTATATTCACCAGCATATATATATGATTCAAAACCCCACAAATATGCCGGTTCGAACACAAGAGCATTAACTATTGAGCGCCACAGTTTTAATTAACTTGTCATACGAAGATAGATGTGTGTACTTAACTTTTCCTAAACAATTAGGAGGCCTGTATCTTTTGGGGAACTATCACAGCAGCAGCTAATACATGCCCATTATGACACAGCAACCAATACGTGGCCAGCGTTTTTTTTTTGAGCAGCTGTTAAAGATATCTTTGAAATAGAAATTTTATATAGCATATAATAATATTATGTCATCGTCAGTCAAAGGCATAGATAGAAACAATATACAGAAAAATAATCTGAAGGCTATCCTTTTTTCATGCTGCTACAGTGCAGCAAGAAGCGTTGGATATCTTGACTGTATTCCTGATCTTATGACCTAGGAAGGCAAACCTGAAAAGCTGACACCAAATTCATATGTTGAATGTTAGATTTCCTGACATAGCACGCTATGGAACCTACGGCCAACAAATATTAGAACAAGAACGTGGAGAGCGATTTTTTGCTTTGCTGAGATGCAGGTTCAGCTGCGATTCCATGTAGCTTGTGTTTCAATAAAATGTAGTGAAACAAAGCATAACTGGAGACTAAATTAGTGATTTGAGGGGAAGTACCTATGTTGAAAAAAATGCAAGTGGACAACACTTATTATGTTGTACAGTCTGCAGAGATGTGTAGCGCTGAATCCATAATGGGGTTCATACATGCCTGAAGTTAAAAGAGGCAGCAAGATTTTGACATGTGGTGACCGGTTAACTGGAACAATGTAGAGGCACTGCTGTGTCTAGCAGAAATCATTGCCATTTCCAGGATAACATGTAAGAAAGGCAGAGGAAGAGGATAACTCACCAAAACGATGAACTAAACTTGGAAGGTGTTCTCTACATGATTGAGAAAGTGTTGCCCCTAGATAAGCAAGGGAGCCCAACCTAGAAAATATAGACATATATATCATAATTGGATCGGAAAATATCATGGAGTAATAAATCTCTTCTGATTTCACTATGTTCTTTTTTTTAGGACACACGATAGATCAAAGAACTAACTGCCTGTAAATTTTGTCACAATCTTCGTTTCGGACAGCAAATGCACATTGTCTAATCTGTGAAATACGTTGCATCATTTTAGACATGAAACACCTCCGTAGAACCTAAAATTTACAAATGTCTTGAAAAATAGGGAGGACTGAGAAAGAAGAGGGATGTGAACATATCAATGATCAAGGAACATGATCAGTATTGTGTCTAGCAGAAATCATTGTCATTCCCAGGATAACATGTAAGAAAGGCAGATGAAGAGGATAACTCACCAAAACGATGAACTGAACTTGGAAGGTGTTCTGTATAGGATTGAGAAAATGTTGCCCCTAGATCAGCAAGAGAGCCCAACCTAGAAAATACAGACATATCATAATTGGATCGGAAAATATCATGGAGATCTAAACAGTAAAAAAGAATAACATGAGAAAGCAATCTACAAAGGATAATACCTCTGAATCCACAATAAATAGACAGCCTTCGGTAGCATGCTAAAATGCTGAAGGTGGGAGCAAGAATTTGGCTGACTCAAACTCTCAATCCTCAAAGTTCGCGGAAGATCCAATCTGCAAAGTGGAGGAAAAATGGCAATTCATCATTCTGCATGGATGTAAACCTTGTGGTCATATAAATAAAATCATAACTCAAGGTAACAGGAAGCTATGCTTGCATAATCTAGAATTATATCCTATGGCTGTTGCTAATGATGATCCTATGCTGGTTACTGTCAGAGATAAAAATGCGATCCCCACCTTCATCAACTGATATGCATGGTTCAGCACATTGAACTATAGAATATCACTTTTTCAGTACATATAAGTTTACTTTCACAAGGAACAGAGCATTCATAGGCACACCTACATAGGCGACCAAACCACAACTTTATAAATAGGCAGATGCATAATAGCAATCAAGGAATCGTGATGGTATCATCTGGAGTAAAATGATCACATGTCACAAACATTTGGGAATTGGGACCTGTACATACAATCTATCAGATTAAATAGGAGCAAACTGAAATGCACTGGCTGACAAGGGAAAACAGCCCAAAGAGGGATTTTTACCTTTGGTGGTTCAGGAAGCAGCGATAGCCTGCATGAAAATTCCGCTCCGTAGTTAAGAGCTTGCATTAGCACCTCGAAAGAATATGATAAATGCAGTTGCCAAAGATAAAATTCAGAAGTTGCTATTAACAAACAAAATATAGCAAAGGGATTTTTACCTTTGGTGGTTCAGGAAGCAGCGATTGCCTGCATGAAAATTCCGCTCTGTAGTTAAGAGATTGCATTAGCACCTAGAATATGATAAATGCAGTTCCCAAAGATAAAATTCAGAAGTTGTTATTAACAAACAAAAGATAGCAAAGGCTAACTATTTTTATTAAGCAAAGATCTCCCAACCCATCACCTTTTATTGCACAGACCGTAATGTAAAGATCGCTCAATCCATCATCTATGATTGCTGTGCAAATTAATCTAGCAGAAACGAATGGCTTTTAGGCCTCTATAAAGCAACTATAAATTAAATAATGTCCATGCTCAACAAAGATGCTTGAACAATCTGATAGGAATAACATAGCAAATGAATATCTAGCATATTGCTTTAGGGAAGCTGGGAAGCTAAAACACAGCCTAGAAGTTACTGAAACACAACTGGAAAATGTTATCATTTGTTTTTAATGTTTCCATTACGGAAAAAGGGAATTACTTCAGTTGTTTTCTCCCATAATCGAGGCTTCTCATGTAAACCATACGCTACAGTTACAGAGGTATTACTTGATCTTCTTTTTTCCTGGACGCAGCACTGGACGTTAAGTGCACAATTACATAATGAAAATATGAAACATTACTGATTCAAATTGATCTGTTTATGAAGGTCAAGAAGAGAAGAACGCAAGTACCTGCAAATTAACTGTCTATGCTATTCATCCCAGCAGTGGGGGTCAGTGCACTCGAGGCCACCAAACTGATGTGCTGGGAACCCATGCCAGGCTGAATCTAACACACACCAATCTGCCATGGACATAGAAACCCTAGAGTAGAAATCGAAACTAAAATCGGAGAAGGTCGCTAGGGTTTCACGGATCACAGAAGCAGAAGAGGACCAGCGGAAGGAGACAGCGCCGGGGGTGCATGCCGTCGGCGGCCACCGGTGGGGGTCGCGGCCGGCCCGCCCGTGCGGCGCGAGGGGGCGTGGAGGAGGAGAAGGACGGCCGCCGCCGTGCCGAGGGCGCACGCATCAGGAGAGATGGGGAGAGAGAGGGAGGGGAAGAGTAGAGGATGTGGGGACTCACCAGCGCGGGGAACAGAGGGGGAGGGGGCCGCCGGCGCGCCGTCGCCGTGGTCGCCGTCGCCTCAGGAGAGATCGAGAGCGAGAGATGACGGGGAGAGAAGCGGGCTTTTTTTTTTGCTGGAGGAGAAGCGGAAGTTGAGCAATATATTTGCTTGGCTGGATTCCAACGAGAAGTCGGAAAAGCAGAGTAGAAGCCCGAGAAGCAGGAGAAGCCGCCGGCGGAATCTGCTTCAAGAGATCTAGGCCGTCGAACGACAAGATCGGACGGCTGCAGGAATTTCGGGTGACGTGGACACGTCTTCCTGGTTAGAACCCCACGAGGTCTATAGAGTTTAAATGAGCTGACACCTTGTACCTTGTTGAGCTCTATGTATCAAATCAAAAATAAACTATCAGGCAATAACTCCTAAAAAATGAGTCCTCAGATCACATACATCTTCAGCTGTGGGATCGTTGTATGCAGAACTATCAATATGAATTTAGAAGAGGGGAACTAAGATGCTTTAGTAAGGAGAACTCCTAAAGAAAGCCATCATTCCAATCAAAAACATCCACAAAGGTGACCAACTGTAATTCTTTCCCTCAAGTGCACTTTCAATCACAATATTTGACAAGAAGAATGCAGAGAACAATATAAACAGCATCTGGAATACTGATTCGGAGACAGAAACCTTGTGGTATTATACATTGTTTCAGGAACTGCAGTTTCAAGTGTCCTGATTCATATATTCAGTTCCCTGGTTTCTTTCTGAGTATATATACAGTGTGTGAGCTCTAAACAACATTTTTACATATCACATTCTACTGATTACAGAAGAATGATAAGCCCTTCTTTCTGATCCCTGCGACAGTTGACAATAATACATCTGTGCAGGAGAGGAATCAATCAAATGTACAATCTGGCCTCTTACCAGAACAAATCATCTACACCCACAGACGTTGATGGTGGGGGCACTTCCTCCTCCATCTCTGGTTCAGGTTCCATGCCAAACTCCGGGGACTCAATATCAGCGAGGTTCTTCAAGTCAACGACAGATAGCTCGTCCAGTTGCTTGACCACAAGGTCTGCAGCACTCAGCTCGTAGATTTTGTGCTTGCTTGCGACCGCGACACACTTCATACAGGCATCGTGTGCTGCTTCCACCGCCGAATTGGAGTTCCCAAACACGATGCACCTCTCCGGGATGAAACTGAGGAGCTGAGCAGCGTACAGAAACATTTCTGGGTCAGGCTTGCCCCGGTACACGTCTTCTGCTGCCACAACCGCATCAAAGAAGCTGCGCACGCCAACAGCTTCAATGGCTTCCTCAATAACCTTCCGTGGGCGTGTGGTGACCACAGCGATGGGGATCTTGTAATTGGCGAGCGTGCTCATGAACTCCCTGGAACCGTTCCTCATCTGGTGGTAGGAGCCGCCTCGAAGGCTGTTGTGAATCTCCTCCTTCCTCAAGGCCAATCTCCTAAGCTCCGAGGGATCACGGGACCAGCAGAGAACCTCAGATATTGCCTGCTCGTTCTTCATCCCTTCAACTCTCCGCAGCACAAAAGTGGGAGGCGGCGACTTCCCCTCCTCCTGTGCCAGGGTCAACCATGCCTGTCTTTCCAATTCAGCATCATCCTCAACAATGACCCCCTCCCACTCGAAGATGACGCCAAGCCACCCGCAGCCCATGCGCTCGAGGCGGAGCAGCGGGTTGTGCAGCTTGGGGTCATCTGCCCTGTTCTGTGGAGGCCATGACGGCGTGGGGCTGGTGACCCCAACATCCCCCATGTCACCACCATCCCCAGGGATCCCCCGGTACTCCCTGCGAGGGCTGGCCTCCTTTGTGACACCCATAGCCAGCGCCCTGATCGGCCAATCGGCGAGGCGTGGCGACGGCTGCCTGGTGACCCGGGCCATGAGGCGGCGGCCCGCGAAGGCGGTGGGCAGGGGTCGGCAGGCGACGACATGTGACGCCCGGCGGAGGTGGTGGTGGTGGGAGGCGCCGGCGCCCCTGGACCTGTGGTCGAACAGGTGGGGGGCAATCATGGAGGTGCTCGCGCTGACCGTGTCGACAACCATGACGGCCGCTGGATCCGGCGCCCTCCCACCTAGCTACGAAGAATTGAGATCCCGGAGCCCAAACCTGGCTGCCCCACCCAAATTATTGGGCCAATTTGCTCGAACCGTCTGCTCCCCTGCCGGAATCGGGCTGCAAGAAGAGGAAGAAACGAATAGCTAAGACTCCAATCCAACACATGAAAGAAGGGGAGGAAGGCAACCAACCAGCAAACAGAAGGGCACGGGTACCTAACTAACGCCAGGAACCAATCAATCGGCAGTTGAAGCTCAAGCCGAGCTCAATGATTGGGTGGGGACAGAGAGGAAAGGGGAAGCGGACAAGGCAAGGAGATAAGGAGGAGGCGGTACCGGCGGCGATTCGGGGATCGGACGGCGGCGCAGGCGTCGGTCGCTCGGTTGCGGAGGAACGGGAGGTTTCTTCGGGAAGCCGCCAACCTTGTTTTAGCCTCGCGTTTCCTTTCCTTTATGGTGAGCAGTGCCGCTGAGCCGCCGCGGTTGTCCGTGCCTCCGCGGAGGAGGAGGAAGGGGAGACGAATCTCCGCCGGGTACGTGACGCGTGGCGCCACGAGGAGCGTCTGATTGGGGTTCGGTTGAAACGTGAGGAGGAGAAGGCCCGCGGCCTAGGAATCGCGCTCTCTTCGATTCTTATCTGCTTCTCTCTAGCGCTATCAGAATTCTCTTCCCTCTTCTCTCTCCTCTCTCCTCTCTCCTCTCTCTCTCTCTCTCCTCTCGCTCTCTCTCTCTCCCCGCTAGTTTTGACTCGGTTTTCATTTGGGTTCTATTCTATATAATTTAATTTACTACTGTTGACATTATTACGAAAACAACGTCAAAACTACTCCGCGTCTTTTTTTTTATCTCCTTCTATTCTATGTAGTCCTGCGTTACTACAATTTTAAAATTGAATTTTGTAAAACTCAAAACTGAATTCTCTTACAAAGTTAAAATTAGGATATCTTTGCAACAAAATAAATCATTGAACTGAATTATGATACTTGTAAAAGTTTTTTTTCTTAAACTTGTACAAGGTTGTAGTAGAATAAAATGGAAATGGTTGGTGCCACATGACAAGAGGAAAGAAGAATTGCACTCCCCCCATTTCAAATTATAAAACTTTTGGCTTTTCTAGATTCATAACTTTTGCTATGCACTTAGATATATGTTATGTCTAAATACATAGCAAATGTTATGAATCTAGAAATGCCAAAATATCTTATAATTTGGGACAGAGGAAGTAGCATCCATTGGGGGCATTTATTCTTGTTTCTAAAAAAATTGCCTCCAAATGAGGCCTCTAACATCTGATTTTGATGGAGAACTCGAAGAAAATAGAGTGCAAAACACCTTTTGACCCTATTTGAAGTTCTTTAAGATGGTCTCGAAAAAAAACTCGATCCGCGGTGGCTAGACAGTGTAACACTCTCGGTGTTACGTTGTACAATTTTGCTAAAAACCCTGCATGAGCATCAACTTGTGTGTAAATGCGTATAATATAGAGTACAAATCAATATTCAGAGCTTGAAACGTTCAGTTGAAACATGAAACAAAGGTTATATTTCGTCTCGTATTATCATTTAGGATTCTAAATGAATTTTTATCGGACGGAAATGCTACGGAACGCATCAGCGGAACGTAGTAAAGTGGGTAGCCCGAACTTCGTAGTCGACGATGAAATATGTGTAGTCGAGGACGAGGTTCGCTAGCTAGTATATCAAGTAGCTCGGAATTGGAATTCGACGCGAAACTGTCCGAGGTTTAGCCATTCCGCGTAAGTCTATAAATGGGTCGACGAAGCCATGTTTAGCAATTTTTGTAGAGCGATCGGCTTAAGAAGTGGCGAGATGTCGTGGCTCAGGTCGATAGCTCTACGTACCCTCTGGAGTATAGAAGAAGTGGTTTGGCGTTTAGACCTTCGGGTATGTGCAAGCGCGTCCGCGCGCGTGGTCCCTGCATTGAGTCGCAGGATTTTTCAACAGCTTTAAAAAGCGTGAAGGTCACGTATGTGCAAGCGCGTCCGCGCGCGTGGTCCCTGCACTGCTGGCCACAGTCTTCTACCGCACGCTCTGGCGCAGCTCGCGCACACCGCACGCTGCTCGGCGTCGTCGCCTCGCGCTGGCCGCTCGGCCTTCACTTCCGCCGGTCCACACGGCTGTTACGCACCTGGCTCATGACTCGCACACACGCGCGCACTGGGGCCAGCGGGCTTGGATGCCCTGCCCTTCCATCACGTCCGCTTGCGCCACTGCTCGTCGTCGCGTCGGCTGGCATGTTCGGCTCGTCCGAACCAATGTCGCCACTCGCCCGAGCACGTTCACGCGCACCGCCTGCACGGCCGCTGTTGCCGTTGACACTGTGGCTGCACGCGCATGACCTTGCCGTCCGCCTAACTTCGCTGTCCCATCCGCGCTTCACGCCAAGCTGCTCTGCCCTGCTCCCAGACGTGCCAGCCTCTGCACACGGTGCTGTGCTGCCCTCGCCTTGCGTGTCGTAGAGCTACGGTCGCGCGTCGGAGTGCCAAACCCATGCGCACGTCTGGAGGTCGCATTGATGTCCAGCATCGTGCCAAGCCGCTGTTGTAGCAGCCATACGGTGCCGGGGGCCTCTATTGGAATTTTCCTCACCGTCGAACCCATTTATCCAAGCACCGTCGCCCGTCAAATTGGTCGGGTACAGTCCATCCCTTTTCAATTCACCGTGCGTCCTAACAGCTAGAGTAGTTAGCCTTCGGTTGGAGTCAATTCGACGGGCTTCCGTCCTTTGGTGAGGTAATGGGGAGAGCTTTCCCCTCGGTGCTCCTTGCTCTTTTGTTTCAATCGAGCACGGCTGTTGCCTCTCCTTGACTCCTTTGCCTCGCCCGTGCAGTGGCCCCACCATCGGTGCAGCAGGTCGCCGAGAACGTCTTCTCCGCGTCCGGCGTGAACTGGAACCACCTCGCGCGTGTGGCCAGGCCGTTGCCGCTCCACGTGACTTTGCCCAACTCGTCCATCACATCGCTGGTGAGGTCCTCTTGCTTCTAGAGTAGCTGGTTGACTTGATTAGGGCCGAGGCTCGTCGGAGCGCGGGGGCGGCAGACGGTGAACTGGCCTTGATGCCGCTCCTATGGCCAGCTTAGTTGGGCGCAATAGCTATTCAATTAGGGCTTTTAGGTGATTACTTTTAGACTGCTAATGGTCACCGAGTAGCAGTAGAGCCGTTAGGGTAGATGGTTTCGCCGGCGTCGAGCTACCGCCGCCAGACCCCGCCGCGGCACGTGGCCACGCCTGCGTGGTGCGTCGTTCTGTGCAATTGTTACCTCAATCGGTCGCGCATGGTACGTAGATGCTCATGGGAGTGCTGGTGTGTGTTGGAGAGGTCGGTGCTCGCCGGCGTTTGGCCGGCGAGGCCACGGCCCTGTTAGTCCGGCCAGGGACTTCATAAAACATGAATTCAAATAGAAGTAGGGTCCTAGATGCAAACTCTGTGACTCAGTGAAATAGTACTCGAGTGGGTTGTGCGAATAGGGTAAAGAACAAGGGATTTTTTTGCTAAAAGGGGGCCGGCAGCGTGGTTCACTTGTGGGCACGCTGAGATGGGCAGCACCGCACCTTGAGGTGGGCCACGCCATGATGTCTTCTTGTCTGTGCTTGTGGCAGGCGGGGACGCCGGGTGGGCCGAGCCGTGTCGTCATGGGCCTCATGGTAGAAATTCATGTTTTCATTATCCAGTGAATTACAAATGTTTATTCAATTTAATTTTTAGTTGAAATTTGATAAATTATAGTAAATTGTGTAGTTATCCAAAAATAGTGAGACTAATTTTGTTAGGTTCGTAAAAATACCATCTACTTGTTAGTATAGTTAGATTACCGTTAGCTGTGACAATAAAGGGGTCATAAATTCAAACTAGAGAGCTTAATATTATGTAGATTAATAATTATAGGAATTTTTGTGGTAAAATGCGAATGGATATAGCTATGAAAATTTTATAGTAGGCTCACTAGGTTATTATGTACTTGTTGTAAATTTTGTAGTCTTAGAGTGAGTTGCTAAATAGAGTAGCTATTACCCTTGCTTTATCGTATATAGTGTAGATCAGCATTAAGAATAAGAATACCTGTTGTTGTTATAATATTATATGCCATACGTCAAACTTCTTATCGGCAGGTGATGCATGAGAAGTACCCTTGTGTGGAAGATTCTTCTAGTGGGCTCAGACGGATCCTCGTTCTTATCGCTAGATATTTATTTTAAATTCCGCTGTTTATCATTCCACACTCTGACATTTGGTATTATAATAATGTACTTTTAAGAAACTCTGATGTATGAAATGAACAAGTATTGTAACTCGTTCTCATTATTGGATCATTGGGAAAAAATGTGGATCTTTTGGGCTCTCCCTTGGGGTGTGCCCGACGGATACCGCCCGCTGTAGCTTGCTTTCGGGGTGCTTAGTGTCTACTGGAAGACGAGCACCTCCGTAAGCGTGTTATTTCGGGCGGTTCTGCCACAGATGGTATCAGAGCCAATAATGGTTACGAGTTTCATCACTCTTTTTCAAAACTTAAAAATTTGATCAACAAAAGTTTTGCGAAAAGTAGGATGCGATTAAGTTAGTTAAATAAGTATAAGCCATAGTAATATGGTCTATCTAGGATAGCGGCACTGGTCTTATCTAATCAATTTTCTATAGGTACACTAACTGACATTGCGTAAGAAATCGTCTAACATACAGAAAGTGAGTGTGCGATGTGCCAAAATTTTTTGCTAATGCCGCTATATTCTGGCTTGAGTGAACGTATAGGACGATACATGCATCATGAAAATGGCATTTTGCTTAAACTAACCCCTCCTACACGTATAATTGGATTAAGAAAGTGATAGGACTAATGAGAAGAATGCTTTAATTAAATGTGCTGTCATTTCTCTAATCCCTTGTTTCTGATCGGGAAGGTTGTTCTAAACAAATGATTCCTATCTCTTACAGATAAATCTAAGGTCTGGACATGGGAGCACCAGTGCTGG